GTTTAAAATTTATTTGATAACTTATTTCAGTTTTATTTGGGGTTAAATTGTGAAGATGAGATCATATAATGAAAGTCCATGGTGCAAATATGATCCTAGTCAGGAGGTCACAAATATGGAGTTTGGTAACTTAAGTGCAATGCATGTATGGTGATGTTAATTGGTAAAAGAGAAAGGAGCTTAAAAAAAAACTAAAACTAAAAAACTATCATTATCTCTCTCAGTGAATTACTGAAAAACCTATTTCCATCCAAGGTTGATTTGTTGGTTGAAAAGATAATTAAATAAAGCATATATGGAAATGACAATAAACTAAGGTATTAGAATTCACACCACTATTCCATAAAACTTTAATTATTTACCTATCAATTCCCATGGAGTAGCAATTTAGAAATCAATCTATTCTTTCTCAAAATATATCAATTAAGCATGCAATTTAACAAATCTTTTGTAAATTATTCCTCTTTCCTTCATTAGTATAAATCAAATTCTAAGCATCACATGTAAACAAAATTATTTAACGGATCAAAGTTTCCTAAGCATCCCATGTGAAAAAGGTTATTTGAATGACAAGAGATCAAAGAAATTTGTATACTAAAAACATAAATCCATGGATGTATTAATAAATCAACGCAAATTCTTAACTATCACAAATACACAATAGAATTGGTGAAAATAAATGTAAAGTCAAAATTATTAAAATTGAAGAATATAATTTGGAAATTAAAAGATAAAAACTAGAAATTAATTTTATGATGGTTTTCATCATTAACAGAATTTAACAAGACATAAATAAAATAATAAAGGCTAAACTATGTATAAGTACACAATCTTTAGAGGTCGTTACAAAAGCAAGTACCTAACCTTCTAAAATTTTCAAGTACATACCTATACACTTGGAAAACCTACAAATAAATCTCGTTGTTAGTCAAACTATTAATAGCTCCATTAAATGATGATGTGGTAATAGTGTGTCCCTTTTTTTTGCTGATGTAGATCCTAGGTAAACTAAAAAATTAATTTAAAAAACTGTTTAATTTTTAAATGGGTAAACTACAGTAAAACCCCCAACTTATAGGGTCATTTACGAGTTCATACCCAATTTTGGGGACATTTATGAGTACATACTCAACGTCGCGGAAAACCTACAAATTGTCCCCTCCATTAGTGAGTCCGTCAGAAAATCCGTTAAATGCTAATGTGGCAAATCTGGAGCCTAGATTTTGATGACGTGGACTTCCAAATGGAGAGAGAGAGAGAGAGAGAGAGAGAGAGAGAGAGAGAGAGAGAGAGAGAGAGATGGATTTGGGAGTGGGGAGGAGCTGGGCAGTGGCAATGGAGTTTGAGCCATTAATGTTTTGTTATTTTATTATTTATGCTTTTGTTATAAAACATTAGGGTTTAGAGGCTATGTTTTATTTATTTATTTTTAAAATATGATTTTTTATTTTAGTTTAAATTTATAATATTTTACTTTTAATTTCTTTAAATCTTTTATGAATTTTGTAGTCTATGTGGTGTCCATTTCAGCAAAAAAATTAAAAAAATTAACCACATGCGACATGCCACGTCAGCACTTAATGCCCCCTCTAATAGTGTGACTAACGGCGTGCCCAATTTGTAGGTTTTCTAAGAGTTCAGGTATGCGCTTGAAAATTTTAGAAGGTTGGGTAGTTGCTTGTAACGACCTCTAAAGTTAGGGTACTAATATGTAGTTACCCAATAATAAACTATAATAAAAGATAAAAACTAAGTAGAGAGGAAAAAGGAAAAACTACATTATAAATCCCTTGGTTCCTTGCCTCTCAGCTCCCCAAGGTTCTCTCCAATTCTATTGCATATACTCTCCTCTTTCTTCTCTCATGTCTGGTGCCCACTTTCTGCACTACTCTATCTCTACACACATTTTACACTACTATATCTTTGCACACATTTTACACTACTATATCCCTACACACACTCTCTCTCTATTTTTAATTAAAT